AGGTGATAGTAGAAAAATTGAGGGATAAGTCATTTTTACCCTTCGACATAATCGTTCATGAGATTTTTCATCTCATACGGCTCCACCTTATAGGTTGGTCAAATGAAATTATCGTTGACGAAGAAAAGATAAAATAAAAGTAATTTCGACGAAAATAAAACATATTTTAGGGGGAAAATAATAACAAAAATAATGGAAAGGGGGAATATTGCGGTTACGCCGCGCCACCGTATAAATTATTATAGTTCTCTCTTTCTTTCCGACAATCGAATTACAGAGAGAGAAAAAATTGTAACCAGGAATTGTAACAGAGAGAAACCTTCCAGGCCCTTCAACAATGGCGGATTCTAGGGTTTCTAAGGGTTTAAGGTGATGGAAATGCCTGGAAGGAGGTCGGATTACACGCTTTTAAGCCAAATTCCCGACGAGGAGGTTGGAACAGGAGCTTCCACTTCGTTTTATGAGTCATTAATAGCCGATGGAAACATTAACAAGGGAAGGGCCGATAGAGTCTTTGATTGGGATGGGAGTGGTGATCACAAGATAAACACGCAATCGAATCGGATAGGGAACCTGTATTCATGGATTGGGTCGCAGAGGCATTCTAGTGGAAGCAGCTTCGATGAAAGCTCTCTTTCCGGGGACTACTACGCACCTACGCTCTCAAGCGCAGCAGAAAATGAGATCAACGCATTGGGATATATCCAGGGTGATGAGCTAAGAGTAAAAGTGGGAAGTGGAGGTTCGTCAGGGAAGAGCTGGGCGCAGCAGACGGAAGAGAGTTATCAGTTGCAGTTGGCCTTGGCTCTCAGGCTGTCTTCAGAGGCCACGTGCGTCCATGATCCCAACTTTATGGATCCGATGCCAGACGACGCAGCGTTAAGATCGTCGTCCAGTTCAGCTGAGGCCATATCGCATCGATTCTGGGTTAGTATTTTGGTGTTTTTATAATCACTGCGTCGTTGGTCTTTGTGCTTTAATCAGTTGGCTTGTTTCTGCTTTACATACATATCTTAACACAGTGAGTAAACATCCTAGTCCACAATCATGTTACTTCAATTCAAATTCGCTATGGGGCGTTATATACTGATCTTTCTTTTCATTTTCTTGTTGTCCAAGGATGCATGAATGGTAGGAAATGGTTGGAAGATAGGCGATTAGTTCGGTGATGATTGATTGAATGGGGTTGTGAACTAACAATATTCGAATTATTATCCATTACAAACTACTCC